ATATACCCTCTGAAAATAGTCTGATATTTTCTGAAAAGAAACTACTTTTCTCTGAATTTCTTAAAAAGTATAATTAATGAAGAATCTCCGCTTTGCTTGATTAAAACGTGGCAGATTAGTAGACAGGATTTTGAACACAACGGGGGTTGTTGTCTTGTGGACTCCCCAAGAAGCCAAACACGTCAAAGGATTTGTATAAAATGCTGCAAAGTCCTATAGAACTTCCAGAACCGAATCATGGACAGATTTATTCGCGTGTCCTGTGCCGCGATTCTTATCAGCAATGTTTGTTTTGAACTTATTTTAGCCAATCAAAGGGTGAGTTTTAATTTTTATATCTTACACGATATCCTATGAGTCAATGTTTCGATTTCTTGTGTATCGCATTTTTTAATTTAATTAATTACTTTAAATTATATAATAATAATAAAAGATATTGTTTGCAATATTTCTCAATTTTTTCAAGTAGAAGTTTTGTTAGAAATATTTTTATATTTTGGCATAAATAAAATTAAAAATAAATTAAATAATAAGTAATTTAATTAGTTTTTATGTAATCATCCAAGCTTTCGGAATCAATATAAATATGAAATGAAACGTGTGTTCTAATAGTGTAGTGTTATATGTTGCATTTTTGGTGTAGTGGTGAAGTAAGTGTATTTGAACCCAATTTTGGCTGCATGCATTGACCTATCGGATATCCGTTATTGTAACAAAAGATCGAATGTCAGTTACCCAAATGTTAATAAAAGATTTAAGAAATGACCCATCATTCCATTATTTGTTCTTTTTTAATTTCAATAAATTTAGATGATCCAAAATTGAAAATTATTTTCAATATCCCCCGATATCCTTAACTTTAATTATTACGTCGATTTCCCATTGCACATTTATTTATAATTAGTAGTAAATAGTATAATAGTAATAGTTATTGATGTTTCACCGGTGGATATACTGTTATTAAATCTGCTATTTCGGAAAATGAAAAAATTAATGACTTTTCGTAATACTTTAATTTAAAAAAATATTTTATGAACCAACGAGTATTAAAAAAACCTTAACTACCAGAACAAAAGCAAATACGATATTTTAAAGGCCAAAGTTCTTCATTAAATATTCGAGCCTGGGTCTTGAAAGAGGTTTTGTCTCTACGTTAATGGAGCATTCGGTTACCAATTCTCGAACAAAAAAATGTCTTGTTTGGATATGTAGTTGACCTTCCTGTTTGATCATCTCCTCCATAATCGGCATCACTGTATCCTTGTAGGTATCTCTTCTTACCATTAGCTGTGTACGTGATTCCAAGTTCCATTTTATCTTTAAGATATTTAAAAATCCTCTGCACGTGCATCCAGTCACTGTGAGTTGGTTTTTCTCGTGATCTTGATACAATCCCTACGTCATTTACTATGTCTGGCCTAGATCCTACCATAAGGCACATTAAGGCTCCAACCACTTGCCTATAAGGACCTTTTTCTTCTTCATTCTGATCTACCTTTCCTTGTTCGTTAGTTCCTTTGACAATAGGTGTAGACACAACTTTACAGTTTTCCATTACAAACTGTTTTAAAATTTTCTTTATGTAAGCTGTCTGACTAACATGAATAGAACCATTTTTGTTAATGTCAATTTCTAATCCCAAGAAATAGGAAGCTGTATTCGCTGTAATTTTGAATTCTTTCTCCATATTCATATAAAATTCCTTTTCCAAAATGTTATTACTTGTTGCCAGAAGTCGTCATCAACATAAGAGCAACATAAGAGCAGGATATCCATCCCCTGTTTTTTGATAAACAACCATGGATCTGCATCACTTTGTTTAAAATGTTGTTTCAGAAGGAAGTTTAAGATTTTGTTATTCCAACATCTTGGTGCCTGCTTGAGTCGATAGAGGCTACGTTGAAGATGACATATTTTACTTGTTCTATCTTGATATCCCTCCTGCTGTTTCATGTACACTTCTTCTTCTAAGTGTTCATAGAGATATGCGGTGGAGACATCAAACTGACCTAGATTCATTTGTTCATTCACAGCAATACTTAGAAGAGCTCTTATATACCCCGATTTAGCAACAGGACTGAATGTTTGATCGTAGTCTTCGCCGTATTTCTAAGAGAATCCTTTAATCACCAGTCGGGCTTTGAATTTTTCGATAGAACCATCCGAGTTTGTTTTAATTTTCTAAACCCATTTACACGGAATGGTTTTTTCATAAGGCAGATTTTGCAGAACCCAAGTGCCATTTTCTGACAAGGAGCTTTTTTTTGTCCATTGCATCTTTCCACTTATGATTAAGATCGCTTTGTATAGCTTCTTGAAAATTTTGTAGTGGTTCTTTGTATTCTACAAATGTTGCAAATGCCTCCATTACAAAATTTTTAAACCTGGTTGGCTTATCTCTTCACGCTTCTTCAACTGTCTTCTTTCAATTAAAGGTCTTTCTTCTGAACTTTCTACGTCTATACCTTCTTCTTTTTCTTCAGTGCTCAATGTAATTGAGTTTTCATTATTTTCGAAGCAACTATCTAAGTTTAATTGTCCATCTTCCATACCTTCAATTTGTGTTTCTCCTCGTATCTTCAAGAATTTATTCAATCCGACTAAAGGTTGTTCTTCAACGATGACATCTCTAGATGTTATGACTTGCTTAGTTTCTTTACACCATACGCGATATTCATCATCATTGTCATAGCCAAGCAATAATATGCATTTTACAGCTTTCTTATCTATTTTCTTACGACGTGGTTTTGGTATATGTGCATGTAGGTACACCATGTATCACTTAAGTGCTTCAGTTTCGGTTTTTTATTCATACTTTTAAGGGAGATTCATTACTTTTACTAGAGATACCTAATCTGTTTAGCATATATGCGGCAGTATTTATCATTTCAGCCCAAAGAAATTGAGGTATATTATTTCTAGCGTGCATAAGATTCCTTACTGTATCTACAACAGTGCGGTTTTCCCTTTCAGAACACCCATTTTGCTCAGGTGTATAGGGCATGACTAACCTTTGCTTGATTCTATTCTGCTGTAAGACATCTCAAACTTCTCTACTGGCAAATTCACCTCCATTATCGCAGAGTATTTTTTTGACTATGTGTCCTCGGATTTTGGCTTTAGCTAACATTATTTTTAGTTTGTCAACAACTTAAAATTTTTCTTTCATGAAGTAGATGTATCTAAATTTACTGAAGTCGTCTTTTAAGAGCACAAAATATCGATTTCCTGACTTCGATTCAATGAAAGGCCCACATACGTGTGAGTGAATAAGTTCACCAGCTTCTTTTGCACGTTCTCAAATACCAAATTTTAATCTATGTGCTTTTCCATAAATACATCCCTCACATAATTCACTATCTAGTGATACTTTTATATCTAATTCACAATCTATAAGAGATTTTACATGTCTCTTATTTTGGTGTCCAACTCTTTCGTGATATAGCTGCAACAGGCTACCAACCGACAGCTCATTTATTTCTTGGCTTACAGGAGTTACGTTTTGAATAGCTAATTTAAACAGTCCTTCGAATCGATTTCAAACACCTACTAATTTGACTGTTCCATCGATTATTAACTTCCAATATTCTGTCCTTGAACGAAACTCGCTGTTGGGATGTTTGTATTGTGCAGCTAATAGGGAAAAAAGGTTTTTCTTTGTGCCAGGAACATACCAGACACTAGCTAATTTAAGAAATTCTGATTTGCCATATACAGTGGCTTCTATTATTATTAATCCTCTGCCAACGGCCTGTATTGCGTTACCATTGGCTATGGTAACATTATAACCAGAATCAAAGTGTTCAAATGTTTGAAAGACATTATATCTACTGATGATGCTATTTGTAGCACAATTATCTACAAACCAGTTGTCTGGATCATTTTCGATACTTAAATCTTTAGAACTAAGTGCTACTAGTGTTAAATGTAAGTCCTTGTCTTGCTCCCTTCTATTGCTATTGTTTGTTTGGGGCTTTCCATTTGGTACATTGACGAACTCTATGACAAGCTTGCTTGCAATAGTGGCAGATCAGATTCTTTCTATGCTTAATCTTTTTGTTGACTTTACTTATTTCTATAGCTAGAACTTCTTTGGTCTTGCTATCGCTTTTGTTATATAATTCTTTAACGTAGGCGCATAACTGATTTGTGAGATTGTTTACAGATCTCTCGGATTTTGCCATCAGTAACCAGCTAGACTTAAAGGAGAAATACTCTTCAGGTTATGTACCAAGTATTGTGCAAATAAGAAAAAATTCGGGTAAATCACATTTACACTGATTCTATAGTGTTAATTTATCTTTAGCGGTCTCTTGTTGAAGTTCTTTCCAAGTTCTTTTCAAAGGTTCTTTAACTTAGATTATTTCTTTACACAAATCGTAAGTTTTACCGTCAAACATCCTATGCAGCTCTCACCATACTTCTCGTGCCTTATTAAACCTCATAATTTTTTGAAGAGAATCTTCTGTCATATTTATTGTAAGTACTAGGAATATGTTGGTTTTTGCTTTGGTAAAATATGCCAACTGTGTATCATAGTTTTTACGGTGATCTTCAGTAGCCTCAGCAGGTAAACGTGCACCCGGTATTCCATGTAGCAAAATATACAACTCATATTTCCATGTACTTCAATTTGTTTTTCCTTCTAGCAAACCTATCTGAACTTTAGTTACTTTCGGAACAAATATTACTGATTGTAATGTTAGATACATATTTGAACAACACGGTAAACCTGGGCTCATAAACTGTTGCTGTTTAACCAGTGGATACTGTTATTAAATCTGCTATTTCGGAAAAAAACTTAAATGACATTTCGTAATACTTTAATCAAAGAAAATATATTTTATACTACCAGTACAAAAGCAAATACGAATCAAAGTAATAGATAATAAGGGTATGTAAATGTAGATACATCAACAATAGTAAATAAAATTACTCTACTTGACTTTATTTCACCAGTGAATCATGCATTTTATAAAAATTTTAAACAAGATAGAAAGGCATCAATCAACAAGCCATCAGAATGCCTTTCAATGAAAATGAGAGCCAACCAAATGCTGACGTAGACCAAATAGAGAACACAGATGATCCAGACAATCAACCACAAAGTGATGAAGATAATATTGCACTGGATTCAGATTATGAATTATAAAATGTATCTGTAGACTGTATACTGTAGAATTATTTTTAATATAAGGTTTTTATATATTTGCACTTTAATCATTCTATTAGAACTTTTTCTTAATCCAACCCAACAGTTGTAAGGTGAGGATAATAGAGAGAGATAGCAAAAATTAGTAGATTCAAAAGTAATGCGCTTTTTTTCCCCATGAGTAATGAGACATTGTCGAATAATGGGAAAGGTGAATTGGATGGATTAAATGGTTTTCTAGTTTTCGAAATGTACCTTTATCCTTTCTTTTCCTTCTTGATGTACACATTCCGTTTATAATTACATAAACCGTCGTTTTTAGAACTTTCGTTTAGTTTCTCTAATTGCATCTGATGTAGAAAGTTCTGAACACAGTCCTTCGTAAACATTTTTCTCGCTATTTTTGGCATTATCCAAAAAATACGTTACACTTCTTTGGTGTTTCACATGCTCGGCATCTAAATTTTGGTTGGAATGTTCCTCTTCTCGAACTTGTTCTTCTGCTTCAGTATTACCATGTAGTACTGTCAAACAAAGGACACCACATTTTAACAAAAATTTACCCTAGTAAAAACAATAAAAAACACAAGCAAATCGAATTTGTTATACAACAGAGTAACGTACTAAAAAGTATAATTAAGCAACAAAATGGCTTCGATACCTACTCACTACTCTTCACTACTAAATTGTTGGTTTACGCTGCTTTTGTGACTTCCGCATTCGGGACTTTTCACTTTATATCTAATGTTAACCATTTTTTCCGCTTTCGTGACCTCAAGTTGATATATCTGAAAATTAGATGTAACTTTTTCGCATCCGGGCCTTTTTAATATGTGCAGAAGAAGAGAGAGCAGTTAAATATAAAATAAAAATCCTTCAGTTCTAAATTAGAATTTATTTATCAAATATTTATTATTTACAATAATGCATCTATTACAATTTGATTATTTAAATTTTTTTAAAGTGACTTATAATTAGAATCTAAATCTACCTATATACTTTTTGCATCTTTTTCTAGGATTTAGATATAACTCTCACTGTTGTTGTGATTCGACTCTTCTTTAATGATGGATAACAATTCAAATATATTCGGTTTAATTTTTTTTATTTTTTTTTTAAACGATTGTGCCAATCTTCCAGTGAATTTGTAGTTCTGTATCGTGTATGATTTAACTATATTATTTTCCAACCATTGATCGACAAAATAATCATTAAGAGTTATTGCTCCGATGACAATAGCAGGAAATTTGTATTAAAAATAGGCATTCTGTTTTAATCCTAGAAGACACAGTTTTAAAGATAATACCATATATTTTTTTATGTGCAAAGAGAATAAATGGCACTAGCCCTGGCTTTTCATACTTTTTTGAAAAAATGGTCCGTTTTGTCTACAAAAAATTATAAAGTTTATTAATTTTGTTTAAAAAAGGACAACTTTTAATAGAGAATTAACATTATCAAACGCATTATTTTTCGAACATTAATGTCAACTTGTAGTAAATCAAATTCTTAATAAGATCAAAAAATAATTTTTAAAATTGGACTTAATATAAAGCCGTAATCATTAAAATAGAAAAGTAATTTCGGATATAAAAATGATTAAAAAATATGATAACGATATCCCCTCTCAAGACGTTCCGTGTTCGTACCGAAGGATGGGTGCTGTTGCCTTCCTCGTCTACCTATTATTGAAATTTGGCCAGATACGGAATAAGGGTACATATAGGATCGAACTTAAATTTAGTGTTACGAAGAGGGAAATTTTATTACATGAGATAAGTTTGTTTTTAATATAGAATTTGCAATGTTTCAATATATTTAAAACATAGTTTAATTGTATAGTAGATATATATTATATTTTCTAAAATAATTCATTTTGCAAAGAATATCAACTTAGCTACTAATATAATAAAATCTATAAATCAGCCTTATAAATAATGTATTTAACAAATGTTTCATATTATATTAATAATTTACATGTTTTCTGACTTATCTGTGCATGAAACGTGTAGTTTCACTTACAAGTTTTTCCTGATTTTGTTGCTGTCTGCTGTTGTAGTGATCTGATAATTTGTAGACTGTATAATTGTTTACAGAAAGATATTTCCTTGGGTGCCCTCTTTTCAGCATAGAATAAATAAAGCAAGAAGATGAATTAATATTTTATTTTGTACAAATATATAAAATATATTAATTTACACCATTTAACGTATAATAGTATTTTGCAATTTTTACAATACTTACGAATGCCTCTTATTTGTAATTTATGAAATTGGTTAAGAGAATGAAATTCAGAATTATTTCGGTCTATATATATTGACTGAAACTCAAAAAAAAATTCTTATAGAAATAATATTTTAAAAACTGAGGGAACAGAGCCGAAGTGTTTTGTTACTATCCGGCTTTGATTGGTCCGAATTTCATGATGGCTGCCGTTAAATGATATTGCAAAGTCCGCTGTCACTACTATTGAAGATGATATTCCTTTTGTTGTGGAGAAAGATGCTTCAGAACATTCTATTGCTGCATCTTTAAGCCAAGCTGGAAGGCCCGTTGCATTTTTCTCCAGGACACTGACAAAAAGTGAACAAAACCATTCATCAGTAGAAAAGGAAGCTTATTCTATTGTTGAAGCGCTTAAAAAATGGAGTCACTTTTTGATTGGTAAACATTTTCAGCTCATTACTGACCAAAAATCCGTATCATTTATGTTCAATATGCGACACCTTAGCAAGATTAAGAATGAAAAGATTCTTAGATGGCGTTTGGAACTGTCCTGTTACAGCTACGATATAGTATATAGACCCGGAGGACAAAATGTAGTACCTGATACGCTCACTCGAGCTTGTGGCTCAAGCAGAGATAAAACTTTATTTGATTTGCACCAAGCTTTGTGCCATCCTGGTGTTACAAGAATGACACATTGGATAAGGTCTCAAAATATGCCCTATTCTGTGGAAAACGTGCGTTCTATGACGGCTGCATGTCCAGTGTGTGCAGAACTTAAACCAAAATTTTTTAAATATCACGGAACACTTATAAAAGCTACTTCTACATTTGAAAGAATTTCTTTGGATTTTAAAGGCCCGCTCCCTACAAATACTAAAAATAAATATATCCTCACAATCGTCGATGAATTCTCTCGTTTTCCATTTGCCTATCCTTGTCCCGATATGACGTCAGATACTGTAATACAATGTCTTAGTAACTTTTTCTCTGTATTTAGAATGCCCGGGTTTATTAACTCCGATCAAGGTTCGTCATTCATGTCGTATGAGTTAAAAACGTATTTACACTCTAGAGGAATAGCCACCAGCAGGTCTACTCCATATAATCCTGAAGGAAATGGACAAACCGAACGATTCAATGGAATTATTTGGAAAACAGTTACTCTTGCTCTAAGATCACAAAATTTAAAAATCCAAATGTGGGAACAAGTATTAGAAGATGCTCTTCATTCAATACGTTCTCTTCTTTGTACTGCTACGAATTGCACACCTCACGAAAGAATGTTCCATCATTCGAGGAAATCGTCAAATGGGAGAACTATACCATCTTGGCTAACAATTCCAGGTAAAGTTTTTATGAAGAAGCATGTTAAATGTTCGAAATATGACCCGTCCGTTGAGGAAGTTGAACTAATTGAAGCCAACCCTGAATATGCGCGTGTTCGTCACATTGATGGAAGAGAAGCCACAGTATCATTAAAGCATTTAGCACCCCGTGGAGATATATCTCTTTTTGATTCTCAAATTGGAGATAATTCTCTCTTGGATTCTCAAAATTTACCAGACCATCAACTTCAACAAAACAATACCCAAAATCGTCCAGTAGAAAATGAAAAATGTCTTGAAATACCTCGCCAAAATTCTCCTGAAACAAAAGATCTTATTGAACCTCAATCTAGTCAAAATTTCGATGAAAGTGCATCTGATTCTGATCTAACTAAAGAGGTCCTTACTCAGCGAAGTACAAGAATAAGGCGACCGCCAAAATATCTTGAAGATTATGTTCAAAAATGAACCTGGGGAGAATGTGGTGTATTTTCTTAACGTCATACCCTATGTATACTTGTTTATTGTATCTATGTTAATGTTAATCACTGTCAATTTTGTCATGCTCAATTTTGCTTATTACAGCCTATTTTCAAAAGGTAGTTTTAATTATAACAATTTTGTTGTTGCTAACTTTGAGATATAAATGCATATTTTCTCTTTTTGATGTCAACGATTTTAAAAAGAGTTTGCTTTTAAAATAAGTGAATATTATAGAAGGACAAACAAACGCCAAAGTTAGAGTAATATATTATATGAACCCTGTACATCAATTTTTTTTTTTTTCATTTTTAGATATGATGTAAATGTATCACAAATTATAAAATAATTTAATTTTGTTTTTGTGAAGAGCAGGGGCCCAATTCCTGACGCCTTCGTTAACTTATCGCATGCGATAACGTATGCGACTTGATGAAAGTGTATTCCTGAACTGACGGCATTCGTCAAATTTATTAACGCATGCGCTAAAAAATGGTGATTTTCAAAGAGCGCTCATGACCGTTCGACAACTACTTTGTCGCATTCGTTAAGGTGAAAGTAAGGTTATAAACAGAGGGTTGTCTCCACATACTTTGATTTTCTTTTGTATGTGGTTGTCTCTCTAATAATTGTCAATTAATCCTGCTTTATTATAGGAGTTTTACAGGCACTAAACAATGTTATAAATTCTACTAAAGTTTCACGCTGTTTTTCCGTTATTCGTGAACCACGCTGTTCCATTTTTAATATTCTAAATCTAAACCACTCCAATTCTCAAGTCCAAAATACAATTAATCACAGTTAAAACATCCAAAAACCAAAAATTATTAGACATCTGCAATCCATTTAATTTTATAATTTTTGCATTTTTGGCAATTTTGACATATGTCAATGCAATTATCTCATATTCAGTGATACCATCTTTGGTATTCTCAATCCTCATTGGTTAAGACTATGCAATAATCA